TTTGACGATCCAACCTTTCAGGCTGTTCCATAATAGATCTCCTCGTCTAAGTCGCCATTAAGGAATGCAGTTTTACATCCATGGACTCAATCTCCCAGTCCTCAAGTGCAGCATGAGCCATCAAATAGCGAATTGACTCAAAACGCGCAACAGGGGAGAAAGTTTCATGGTAGTCTTCACCCCAGATTTGAGTGAAGCCCTTGGCGACAAGCCGTGCCTTGTAACGATCATCATGTTTGATGTCGTATACCCACCGGTTGGAGACAACTTTACGATCCTTGGGACGAGGAACTAGTACCCAAGTCTGGTTCTCCATAAGAGAGTCATACTCTGATTTCTCCGCCATATGCCACTTCTCCGCTTCAGCTGAGTGCATTGCTTCCCAATGACTTTTAGGAATTGATGCTTTATATTGCGACACAGCAAGAAAAGCTAGCAGAGTTTCTGCCTCCCGCTCAACTACATCCCCCTCAGGATCTATACGCGCATCGGTTCGTGCAGGAGATTCATCTCCATAAGTATTTCCTTGTTGCCGATGGGGGTTCTGACCAGCACGCTCTCGACGTGGTCTATCTCGAGCAATACTTGGACCAGGATCAGCAGGAACATCACGACGAGTACGGTGACGCGGTTGTGGAGGAGGGACTGGAGGTTGTTCAATGGGAGCAGGATCGGGTTGTGGTGGCGGTTCATTTGGTGGAGCAAAGACAGGTGGATTAGGCATGTCAGGGAGAGGAGCTGGGTCACCAGGAAAAACATCTGGTTCACCAGGAACATCGGGTTCAGCATCCGATGGATCGAGGCCAGGAAACGGATGATCGTGTGGGGTAACACGACTTCGGCCGGTTAAGTCCTTACGTGCAGGGAAGACAGACTCATCGAAGGTCGCATCGCGAGACACAACGAGTGAGCGGGTGACTGGATTCCAGAATTTAAACCCCTTGGTTCCAGATTCATACCCTACGAAGATCATTTCGACAGCCTTCTTGTCGAGTTTACCCTCGCGCTGATCTTTTTGCACGTGGACATAGGCTTTGCAACCAAACACCCTAAAGTATGAGACATCAGGGACAGTGCCATTCCAGGCAGTGATTGGGCATCGCCATTTGAGTCTACGCTTAGGCAAGCGGTTGTATATATGGACGGCAGCTTCGAGCGCAAGCTTCCAGAAACCATGGCTAAGTCCAGCGAAGTGAAGCATAGACAAAGCTTTCTCCATAATCGTACGGTTAAAACGTTCAGCACGTCCATTTTGCTGAGGCGAATCGGCAGAGGTAAGTTCATGCTCGATGCCATGCTGACGTAAAAAATCGGTAAAGGCAGCAGACGTATATTCTCCTCCTCGATCAGAACGGAGTCGCTTCACAGTCTTCTGGGTCTGATTCTCAGCCCACGCCTTGAACATCTTAAACGCATCAAGCGCAGAAGACTTGTTCTTGAGATAGGCGATGAAGGCAAGGTCAGAGTAGTCATCCAGAAAACCACAAAAGTAAGAGTATCCGTCGATAGACTGAGTGCGCATAGGACCATCCAAGTCAGAGTGAATAAGTTGACAAGGTTCAGTCGCGCGTGATGAGGAGCGAGGAAACGAGTGACGATGGGATTTGCCCCAGGCACAACCTTCACAGGCTGGATGTCCTTGAGGACGCGGGTCAATATTATCAACTCCCTTGGTGTTAGGAGGAATTTTGCCCAAGACATTGTCACCCGGGTGTGCAAAACGCCGATGCCAGATATCATAGTTTGAAACCGTAGATTGAAGTGATGGAGGGCCATCCATAACCAGGTTAAAGTAGTAGACGTTCTGTAAGAGCTGATAGTACGCCTCTAAAACTTTGTCCCCAGTAACCATATAGCCATTTCGCGTGTCTGATGAAAACATCAGAGATGATGAGGATTTGAAGATCGACATTCGCCATCCTCCCTGAAGAAGTATATAACCGTTCTTTTCAATGGTCCCCGTAGAAAATAGACGTGAAGAGCAGGCAGGTACGTGATAGACTTCTTTCAACTCGGTATTAACCCAGTGATCGTCCAAGAAGACCTTGCCCACAATGGTACCGACTCCGTCTGCATAGACACCCTGGCCAGACGCGGCTGTACCAAATTTTGCAGGTGTATCCAGCTTACGGTAAGTAGAAAAATCGGACCTATACGGGGTCACATGTGCAG